CAAATTTCTGTTACTTGCAAATTTTCAAAACTTTTTGTACCTGTTGCTCCATTACACGGGTAAAAATAGACTAACAAGATCATTGGAAATGTTTCCACAATCATTGTGCATGGAACTGTCATAGTTTCATTTACTGATTTGCTATGTGAGAGGAGTAATATCTGAAATACTGTTTCTGCGAACAGTCCACTGTCGTACCTGTTACAGCTTTTACAAAACAAGCAGAGGTTTCTCCTTTTGGGTGATGATAGGGTGATATTGTGTGCATGGAATTGGGTGGTTAGCATTTTAATTCATGCATTGTATTTGACTACAGTACTGCTTTAAAACCAAAAATTCATTAATTCCGCATGAAAGCAAGCCACATGGTCAAATTTATTCTATTTAACGCCCAATTCAATCACGGACGTTGTCTACCAGGGAATCCTAGTTTCCAATCCCGGTTACGTAGTCTATAATATCTATGCTGTAATCCAGCTTGTAATCCCTGGTAATCCAAGTAATCCAGCTTGTAATCCCTGGTCCGGTAATCCAAAGAATCTACCTATAATCTTGGTAATCCACTCATAATCTTGGAATTCTCCTGGTAATTCAAAAGTAATCCAGTAATCAATTGGTAATCCTGATAATTTTTGTAATCTCGTAGAGATTTTCTTCCCGTTGCGAACCCCTCGTTACCAACTTGCCAAGTTGCCAGCATGACTTTTTATAGTAAAGCAGGTGCAATTGCTGAAGCTCTGTTGGACCGAGCAAGTGCTGAACAGATTGTGTTTAATGATAAGAAGACAGAATTCCTGGAGGACGAGACTAATAAGAAGCCTCTAGATCAAGTAAGCTCGCACAATAATGGAGACACGCCCATCACACCAAAGGATTTTTACTGGGACCAGATCCTCCTTTATCTGGTGTCGGCTATTCTGGGTCTGAGTTTCTTAAATACAACTGTAGAATTTTTCAGAGGGTCTACAATACATTGTTATATTTCTGATACTGGTACTTCTCTTGATCAAGTGACATATCTTAATAACTACTGCTATAGTAGTTTACCCAACAGTCAGCATTATCTAATATTTACACTAATATCTGCTCTTATTATTATCGCACCGCATTATTTGTGGGCATCTTATTTTGGAGCTTATTTTGATTTTTTTTTTGACTTGACAAAAAAGCTTCATCGTCTTCGAGACACCAAAACTGGCGAATATAATTCGTATAATTTTGAACTTGTTAAGAAACTGGAGCAGAAGTTTTCTTCAAATCCATGGATGTTCCGTTGGTATAAGCTAAAGCTCTTAACTCATTTAGTGACGTGTACAATATTTGAAATCGTTAATGCTTTTTACTTTGAGGCAGATGATTTTAACAAGTCATTTCCCTGTCCAGCAGACAGTAGTATTCTCAATACTACAGTCTGGCCACTACCCGAGCAGCTCAACTGTGTTTACAATAGTCTGACGTTACTTTATTTCCTACGTAACACTGCACTTGGTTTAGTTGCTGCTGCTATAGTAGTGATTATGATTGGACTTGTTTGGTGTTTTCTACCTCATACAACTGAGCTTGGTGCTAAAGACATTGCTGCATTTTGTGATTTCTCTTGCCTGCCTCCTGAAGAATATACTTTTCCTTCTCTTTGGAAAGTTGTGCTCTCAATTTTTTCTTGTGCTGGAGAAGAACGAATATGGTCAACTTCAAATGTCAAGCAAGTATTTTCTCCACGCATACACACAGATCTTGATTTTCTAGTAACTCGATTGTTTTATTCTGATTCTGGTCATGGACAAGTATTCAAAGAAATTCAAATATTGAAAGAGTTGGAATACAGAAGCATACAAGATCACAAGCTAATGTATCTTTTGAACATGATTTATGAAAAATATTTGATAAATAAAGGAGGTAAATACTGCTATTATGTGAGCTAATACTTGTATTATTTCTGAAGGTTTTGCAACAGAGTGTGCAAAAATGAGCTTTCTTCAAGAACATTATAAAGATATTCAAGCATATTTTCTTAAAACTCATAGTTTTGATGAAAACAATATTGAGCAGTCACTGTATTTTGAATTTAAGAAGGGAAGTGGTGCAAATGAAACAAATTGCCACGGGGTGAGTCAAATCATTCTAATGTAATTAGATTTATATTTCCATAGTCTTGCTCTACATTTAAAAGTGAAATTTTTCGCTTTTTCCGATTTGCTCCAAGAAAAAAATGTGCATTAGACATTTCTTTTGGCAATAGAAGAGGTCATTCACTTATACTGGCAAGAGCATTCAGTGAAGTATGCCTATAAAATTAATTATCACAAAATTCTTTTGTTACAGTCACTGACAATACATTTCAATAAGTACTACAAAGATTTTGAAGAAGTGTGTCATAAAAATGACTATCATGCAAACTATTACACACTGACTCTTCAAAATGACATTTATGGACAAAATGCTGACAGTAATGCAAAGGTATTTCTAATAATTTTATTGCATTTCACTTATAATCTATTAAGTCTGATATTCCTATTGTTCAATTCTTAAAATCCGAAGATGAAATAAGAACAATAGATCTCATTACAGTAGGACCAATCACAGAATATTCTGATATAATAACAAGTATGTAAAATCATTTTTGTAAAGTAGTCCTTTCAATGTTTAATTTTAGCTAATATATTGCTTCACAAAATCCACAGGCAAAATAAGTATTTCACCAAGAAAGCTATTCTGCTTGCAATACGTCCATTAGAGATAGGATTTGAGCAGCGTTCAGAGCATTTTATACAATATATACCTCCTCAAAGGTAAGATAATATGGCTTTCTTTTACACTATTTATATTCATTACATAGAATATTTAAATGTCACAGTGAACCAACCGAGAAAGATTTTGTTGTTGAATGCAACAATGTACAATGTGTTTATGAGTTTAAGATGTATTGCTACACTGGTAATACCGAAGAAGAACAAGTCCCATAAGACACAAGTAGATAAATAATGATTTTGACTGCTTAAGATTTTGTCCCTCACATGACTAGATTGCATCTATCTAAATTTAGATATATTATACACATGTAGTCTAGATCTATAATTATTGTGGGTTTACATTGTATCAACCACCAGATCAGAGTTCAATATTTTACATATGGATAAGCTGAGTCCCCCAGCACCTCAGCCTACTAAAAAGATTTTTTGTAAGCAAGTATGGCTAGCACAGCAAGTGCAATGATTGCTGGAGCTGTGTTAGACAATGCAAGTGCTGACAAAATTATTTGTGTTCAATGATAAGAAGACAGAGTTTCTGGACTCAGATAAGTTAGATTTATCCAGCTCCAATAAAGGAGGTAGCAGTGGTGACACACCCATCACACCAAAGGATTTCTATTGGGACCAAATCCTCTTTTATCTGGTATCTGCCATTCTGGGTTTGAGTTTCTTAGATATATCAGTTGAGTTTTTCAGAGCAGTGTTATATCACTGATATTGCTGCTTCCCTTGATCATAACTACTGTTATAGTTTACCCAATAGTCAGTATTTATATGTACTAAATCTGCTCTTATTATCATTGCTCCACATTATTTGTGGACGTTGTATTTTGGAGCTTATTTTGATTTCTTTGACCTGGCAAAAAAACTTCATCGTCTTTGAGACACTAAAACTGGCGAATATGATCTGTATAATTTTGAACATGTCAAGAAGCTAGAACAGAAGTTTCTTTTTTGAACCCATGGATGTTTTGTTGGTATAAGCTAAAGCTCTTAGCCTTAGGGGTGTGTGTGATAGTGGAAACTGTTAATGCTTTCTATTTTAAGGCAGATGATTTCAATGAGTCATTTCTCTGCCCTACGAATACCAGTTTTCTTAACACTACAGCCTGCAGGCCACTACCTGAGCAATACTGTGTTTACATAGTCTAACATAGCTTTTTTATGTAACACGGCACTTGGTTTAGTTGCTGCTGCTATAGTTGTGATTATGATTGGACTTGTTTGGTGTTTTGTGCGTCACACTAATGAGCTTGGCGCTAAAGACATTGCTGCTTTTTGTGATGTCTCTTAAGTTGCCTGCCTCCTGAGGAATATCCTTTCCCATCTACTCAAAAAATTCTTTACAGCTATATAGGATCCTATACTGTGGCAAAAAGGAGAGACTTCTTGAAAGATACCAACCGAAACTATTCATTGAAAATCAAAAGGAACAATCAAGTATGCTTGAACTAAGTCCAAGCCATATTGAGAACATTGCCAAGTCAAGTCAAAATGAAGAAGAAAAAATGAAATCCCACCCTCTGCTCAGACTGCTCTCCTTGTTTTACTGGTTTCTTGAAAGGACTAAAGCAAATATTTATTCCATGATTACACACAGATCTCGATTTTTTAGTAGCCCGACTGTTTTATGCTGATTCTGGCCATGGACAAGTGTTTAAGGACATTCAAATACAGAAAGAGTTGAAAAAGAAAATATCACAAGGTCATGAGCTGCTATAACCTACTTAACAGTGTTCATTTTCATTTGTAAAAAAGTGTATCAGAAGGAAACTTGGTGAGAAACAATTTAACTTTTGAAATTTTTCATTAAATTTTTCAACAGCTTATGAAAGGAAGGGCAATACCAATGCCAGAAGATAAAGAGTGGGAGCGGCTGAAAGATTTTTAAAATACTTTTTTGAATCAAAAGTCGGTGAAAAAAATTCTGAAGAGAGAGTATCATTTTGTAAAAAAGACTTAGGAGTCAGGAGTACTGATTGGGTAATAAATGATGGTAGACGCTTTTGAATTATATTTTGTTTGATTTTAGTCTCATTCTCCAGTATTTGGTTTTCTTAAGTTTGCTCCTAACAACAGGCTAGCTTTAAACATTTCTTTTGGCAGTAGGACAGGTCATTATCTGATTTTAGCAAGAGCATTCTATCAAGTAAGTATTATCAGGAGTCCATAATGTATAGTGTATTTAATGCAAGTTATTGTGTTGTAACTGTTGTAGTCAGTGACAATACAGGTATTGGACCGTGGGTCTTGAGCCCTAAGAGATAATTTTTCATCTATTACTTGGATATGACCTTGGACTTGGATCAGATGATAGATTAGCAACTTTCCTTGATATGTAGCTGATGTAATGTGGCCTCTCTTGCATTGTTCACAATACTAAGCTTAGCTACAATAGGGCCACCTCTGTTAAGTCTAGCATTAGAAGTAGCATATCTCCATTGGCAGCAGGAACACTTAACTATAGCCACTTTCTATAACATGCAGAAGTAATATATATTGCTTTCTTTATGAACACTCACACTTCAAGCAGCATCAAAATTGTCTTCAGGTTAGGTTTTGTGGTCAGGAAAGGTAACTATGCACATGTACTTCCGGCCATGTAGGGAAAGTTTCTGGGATGGCACTAGTGCCTTCACACTATTGGCAGGTGTTGCTAAGGAGGTCTGAGGTTATAGTTTTACTCCCATCTATAGGTCAATGTATCTAATGCTATGATAATGCTGCTGTATTCTAGAATAGGGCTTCACTACACTTTGATACATTAATTTTAAGCACAAAATCTTCTATTTTGTGTGTGCATATTATGTGTGGTTAGTCAAATCAAAGAGCTATTCATTTAGGGGTGCAAGGGTCCGCATTAGTAATCTTAATTTTCAAGCTTAATTTTGCAGAAATTTAATTTCAGAATCCATCATCATAGCTGAATCAATAAGGCATGTTTGATGGTGCACAGCACACCTCAGTTAGACAGTGATGGAGTGGTTTCTTTCTCTACATTGGTAGTGACTCCTGACTTTAATTATAACTCAATTATTACTCCAAAATTGAAATGCACAAATTATTTACCATGCCACGTTTGTGGTCTTGGAATTAAGATTGGGGCGATTGAGAGTATGTAGATATATACTAGTACGTGTGTGCATGCAGCACTACGTTTTCAGCAAAAGTCATGACAGGTGTATGCTGTTGAGACTAAGTGGTTAGTTGACTCATTAATCACAATAATCAGAAGTACTATTTTCAGTATTTTGTTACAATGTATCATTAACGCATCCACACACACACACACAGAAATTCATGTTGAATAAGCTTATTTACTTTAATTTGTATATACATGTGTTATGTGTGTTTTTAACTGTCATTAGGTATTCCCCTCCAGTGATTCCACTGTTTTTGATGTACCATCAACTGGACATGTCATGTTGGTTTTCTGCTTACCACATGGAATACCTTTACAGTAGGTCCTATAGTGATCTTTTTTTCACACTCAAATTTAAAAGTAGAAAGGTTTTTTCTTTTCCCACAATTTAGACATCCAGAGTTTTATCCAGTGGAGAAGCTTCCCCCCCCCCCAAGCTCTTCAGCTTCCCCCTGTGTACTTTTGTAACTGCATGCATATACTGTACATGTACATACATGTATGTACACAACCTTCTCCCCCCCCCCAGTCAACTGCTCTGGGCTTCCCCCCAAACAAAAATTCCTATAGATAGAACCCTGATCATCCCTAAAATCATTGAATATACTTGCAGCCATTTTAGTAGCAAAGTATCTTTGTCAAGATGTGTCAGACAAATAGAGCAGCACAGTTTTATATCTGATCCTTTATCGGCTAGTTTTTACTTTGACCTGGGAGGGACATTACCATTATCAAACCGCATGAGCTGTTTACTCTTTAAAAAGTTTTAATCTCTTTCTATATAAGACCACCCATTTCTAGAGATGTAATTACTATGAATACATTTGTCCATAGTCGATGCATAGCCAATAAATGTATATGATAAGGTTTCCACTAAAGACTACCCATTAACAACAACACTCTCAGCACTTGCATAAGATCACATTGATTATAAGTGAGTATATACCTGCCTTATTAAATAATGTACATGAACTGGTGTTAAATTGCAATAAGAAATAAGGCTAATTGCAGTAAGAAGTAAAATGCCGATGGGTTAGAAGTCTGAACATGTAACTTAAGTTATGGGCTCATTATTGAGTTACGCTACATGATAGCACTATTATACATAGTTTTTCTTTAGGTGGCTTGGAATCAAAGTTGCTGTATTTCAGGCTCTTAAATTGTATGAAGTGGATTACTGGAAGGGCTTTTTGTTCTTCTATGTTATAAGGTATTTATCTATTAGAAATGTACTCTTAAAAGACTTGCTGTTACTCTTATTATGAGTACCAGTATCTTTTAGGCACTAATAAATAATGCTATGTGCATTACACTTTATTTTTAAATTACATAAAGTATATTAATAATAAATCAATCAGCAACAATAGTTAGCAGTATATTCTACACGACTTTAGTTCTCTCGTATTTTCTCAAGGTATTTTTCGATTGAACTTGTCCTTGCTGTATGTATTTCATGAGGACAGATGAAGCGATTCTTATACTCCCTATCAGCACAAGAACGGCAGAAAGCTAATTTGATTTTGCACTTATATTCAATAACTATGAAAACTAGATTTTTGCATCCTTCAGCTTCACATGTCTACAGTAATTTATACAAGAAACAATACATAGAGATACTTACACTCATTCTAAAGTATAGTCAGAATATAGTTTTGGACTAAGGTAGTATGTCTCTGGATTTTTCTTGTTCTTTTCTGCAATGTTGCTTCTGTTCGGCAATCGTGTCATTTATAATTTTTCTTTATCAATACTATTTCGCCTACATGGGGTGTTACTGTAATAATGCTATGAAAACAGCTGTAAAAATTCATTTGGTATCTATCATGTTTTCTATGTATTACTAAAAGTTGCATAGAAGTATTAATTGAATGTACATGTATTTGGTTAAATATAAAACTAAGACTATGTATCAATATCTATTTATGTTATACTAATAATTATATGATGTAATTGGTCCTTTGTAGATATCATCTTTCATCAGTTTCATGAACAAATCATTGCACGAGGGCATAGTGGCAATGGAATAGTTATGGCAACAAGCTCTATGATCTGCTGCACACTCAAGACAGTACGTTTGTGAATGTGAACTGTTGTGACACTCAAATTGGAACTTTGTCAATGCCATCTCATAATAGTAGAACTGACAGCAATCACATTGACCATACCAGTTCCCACTACTGACTGGTTTCTGGAACGAAAACATCAAAAGGTATTAATGAACTCAATTAATTACTTTTGGCCAGAGTAAATTTTTGAGGATTTGTTGGGTGGCTTCCTCCTATTGCACTGTATATGCATGAGGTCCTTTCCAGGAAACTTCAAAGACTTAATATGATTGGCTTTTCACCATTGCAGTACTGCTCAGTGTATTTGCCACTTCCACTGACTCTGACATTATAATCAGCATATCTCACATTACAGCAAGTACACTTCACTTTGGACTCTTGAGCTGTGTAATACTATCAAGAAGCAATTTTATGAGGCTTAGATCAAAAGCACTCACTGCCATTATATCAGAAACCTGTATATTAAAGATTTACCTTTCCTCATTTCTTTGTTTCATTTATATCATCAGTTGGTGGTATGCATAATGATGGGGTATTATATATTTTGCTGCCTCATCTGCCTTGCTGGGTTGTTTTTGGCTAGCATTAACATATCGAATTCCATGTATCCCTTTTCCCCACCAAAGAGTCCTCAAAGGTGTTCACATGTCTTTGGCTCTCACACACGTACATGTATACATGTGTGTATTATTGTTATCGGTGTATTATTGTTATCGGTGTCTCATCAGGGTGTAGACATTGCTAACTGGATTGTAAGGCTACTATGTCAAGTGAAGGAGGAGAGTTTAACGCCCCAAGAATAACAGCAGTAGAATAACAGTGGCGTACACTTGAATTCATTATGAATAAGGTTATTGAGTGAGGTTTGAAGGAGGAGAGAGCCATCGCCTCAGCTCAGGACTAACCCAGTTCCCAGCTCAGTTTACACTCAATAATTTATTTTTAATAATGTTTAAAGTGTGATAAGGCTTCGGACAACCTTAACTGAGCACTCAGTAATGTACATTCAGTTATAGTGTCTACAGCTGTGTATATGCATGCCAGAACCTATTGGGACATTGAGGTAGTGTATAGGTGTTGTTGTTCATTCAAAGGACTTAAACAATCATGTCATATTGTACAGATTAATAAACAATTCTTTTATAACTATGATAATCCAAAATGAATATTGTAAATCACTATAGTATTATACATATATTATAGATTGTTATAAAATTTCTGACAATAAGTTTCTAATGGTTATCTTTTGCTGCTGGGTGTTCTAGCTGACAGCTCATGAATTGGACAGAATTCTAGTAGTGATGAATTAAGACAAGAGACACAGAATTCATGAAACTTGTAGCATTCAAATATTTTAACTTTTCGAACTTCTGTTTTTTCTTTACAAAACAGACACTTGCCTGAATAATAATCAAACTATATATAATGAAGAGAATTCATGCATGAACTGTAGCTATTGGCTTACTTCAGACATACTGTGAAGACTAGGAATGATCAGTAGAAGCTCTGTACTGAGTGAATTGCTGCATCACACTGGAAGTAACTTGCAACTGATAGTAGTATTGCATGAATGCCCAACCCAACCCTCCTGTGATATCATTAGTACACTCTATAGTGCCAGTATGTGTCAATGATTGCATAGCAACCTGTACAGGATGTAAGATATGTACACCAACACTGTGCAGTATTGTACCACCAACAGTCTATGTATGGCTGTAATTACATTACTGTTATGACTGTAATTGTTCAGCTGTAAAGAACACCATGTATAATCAATGCTGTATTGTATGTGCTGTTAATTGGTTTTCTAATATACATGTACTTTGTAGTATTATACACATGCCACGTACTCTAATACTTTGAGGTGGTTTGTGTTAGTCTATGGACACCATTAGTTCATATAAATTGTGTGTATAGTGGGGAAGTTCTAAGGAATTCCTTAGTGTCCAGATGGGCTGTCCTCTTGACGGAAGATTGCAACAACACTTGAGATCCATTAGTAAAGTACACAGAGGAATGGCTTCTCTACCAGCAGTGCACTCACCATCCAATAGAGACAGTATTAACTGTAGACAGAACTGCAAGAAGTCAGATAAGGTCACCTATAGCTTCTAAATACATATGTACATCAAGGAGCAATGGAAATAAGGTTTTAGTATTTAATTAGATGCAGCTTGTAATTTTATTTTTTGTTTACAGGTATTAAAGCACTCCCTTTCCATTTTAGGTGGTAAAAAGGTGACAATAAACAAAGCATTTATTTAGAAAGAAGAAGGAGGGATAGTAAGAAAGGAAAGTTGTCTCATTATTAACTCATACCATATAGGGCATAATGTTAGCAGGACGCAAATTTTGCAAAATCTACTAAGATTCCATTTTGTGGGTTTTAATGTCACGAATTCTACCACATGTGCCATGCAGGTACCGTATTAATTGATATTTGCAGATTTTATTTTTGCGAATTTACTTTATGCACAAAATCCACGAAATTTGCATCCCGCGAACATTATGCCCTATACAGTATTCATTATCAATAATAGACTACACCAATGCATATGCCATCAAATAAGAGTTCATTGACTCCTCAAGAATACATGACATATTTATGACAGTGTCAACCATACCAGTCATTGGGTAAGACCATTGTATAGGATAGGTGCCCATGTATAATCTGCTCATTAAGAAAGTAGTTTCAACATAAAATAGTTAGCATTTGATATTTTTCAGTCAGCCAAAGCTCATTGATAATATGACTATGTACATGCTCTTATGTTGTGTTGTATGTTATGTAGAAAGTTTGAACTGATTCAGATCAAAATTTGATTTTTAGAAATTTTCCAAATATTAGCCAAAGACCATGTACTATAGTACATAGTACATTCATCTAAAATGACCAGGAAAGAGCTTTTTATTAAATTTTTTACAACCTGGGGGCAAACCCTACAGGTTATTCCTATAATTGTTTTCACCCAAGTGTGATCTATTCATTTATTTCATTTGTATGTCACACCATAGATATGTCATGCCATAGATACACCATAGTTATATAGATAATATCTGTAGTCAATGTCACACTTACATTTCTTTTATCAAGAACCCAGCTATGCATGAAAGGTGGTGAAACAATTTTAGGAATATTTTTACACTAATATGCTTGTTGACAGATAGATCTATATGTTATGAGCTGATTTCAATCAAAATTAGATTTTTATTAAAGTTGTTTTGGAGCTTTACCAAATAGTAATAGTAATCAGGATTTAATTGTCATGTAGTAGTAATAATTATTATACTTTTTCCAGTAAATTTATGTAATAGACTAGCAATAGTATATCAAAATTTTCAATAATAGCAAATTGTAATATAATTACTTTTTAATGTAATTAACTCAATTTCTGGTATTTTTATAATGTATGCTTTATGTGATCTGGATAACAGAAAAGAAGACATTACAAAGACAAATGTTTTAAAATTATCTCTATGGTTTCCTCCATGCAGATAGTAAAGTCTCACAAAAAGGGAGATAGGGAGCATTGTAGACTTGCGATGGCTTTGGCTGCTCTTTTATTCTAGCATGGGCTTTTGAAACTGTGAGTCAGTAGTACAATAATATTATCATTATTTTTTATTAAGGTTTGTGTCCTGAATTTTCATTCTCACTATCGAAATAACAAGAAGCAAGTGATAGAGGATAAACTGCTCAATCAAGTTAACATTATCACTGTTCCTATTGATTATTACTCTCTCCCTGCAAATGAAGCAGACAATGTAAGTGAACCCCATCATCCTGTCAATTGACCATTTCAAAGCCAAAAACATTTTCTTATACCAGCTTAATAAAATATTTGTCAAAATTGAGTCAAACTTTGTACACAGCATAAGTACATGTACATGTACATCAAGGTGTATCAAAAAATGTAATAAAAATTTGGGGTAATCTCGGAGCCATTTTTTGGAAAAACTATGGGCTATAGCCTTGGGTATTTTACAGAATTTTGACGTTTCTTAAAATGGCCGTAACTTGAAAAATTGAAGTCGGAATGAGCTCAAACTTTCTACATAGCATAAGGACATCAATATGTATCAGAAAATGTAATAAAAATTGGGGGTGATTTCGGAGCCATTTTTTGGAAAAAACCATGGGCTATAGCCTTTTTTTTTTTAGCCTTACAAAAAGAATCTTTATTAGAAAAAGAAAACAGCACAAGTAGGGGACAAAATGAATTAAGTTAGAGAGAAAATAAATAAAATAAAATAGGTTAGGTTGGGACAAAAAGAATAAGATAAAATATAATAAAATAAAATAAAATAAATCTAATGTGCAACACTGAGTTGAGCCTCAGATGTTACTCGGATGAAGTCACAAGAGTCAATGGACATGTGTCTGTAACGAGACCGACATCCCCGAAGACACCTTATAGCAGAGCGGATGATTGAAAATGAATACCGGCACCATATGAAATTGATGGTGGTGCTGTATTGATGCTGGAATTTCTCTGCATGGAGTAGAGAGAGTCGTTTGATGAATTGGGCAGCCATAGCCTTGGGTATTTTTCAGAATTTTGACATTTTCTTAAAATGGCCGTAACTTGAAAAATTGAAGTCGGAATGAGCTCAAACTTTCTACATAGCATAAGGACATCAATATGTATCAAAAAATGTAATAAAAATTGGGGGTGATTTTGGAGCCATTTTTTGAAAAATTCATGGGCTATAGCCTTCGCTTTTTTTCAAAAATTGACTCGTTTTAAAAAATGCTAATATCTTGAAAAGTATCTATTGGAATTTGTACACAGCATAAGAATATCAATGTGCATCAGAAAGCAGCAATTGCTATAGTGTTATTTTAAGTACATGCATGAGATACTATTGCTTTTTGTAGTCTTTTTGAGCCAATAGAAGATGAAGAGGGTCCCATTGCAGAAGAGCAGCAGTTGTCCATTAAAACTATCCTTGATTTAAGGAAAGCAATAGGAGAGGCTTCTTTTATTAAAGTTGGTGATGATGAAGGACTAACTTGTTATTGTGCTAGTTGGGGACATTGAGTGTACGTGTCATTTAAATGAAACTACCGCATAGTGGGTATATTCCATCTGAGTTCAATTTCGTTCTTTTTGTTCTCATTTCTTGTGGAATGAATTTTTTCCAAATGAAAAAGGCATTTTCTCAATGCCACGTGTACAAAAATGGCTGCTCAAAGCAAAAATAAAATGAATCAAAATTTCTAATCCTGCTTAGTTAGAACAAATATTTTTTCAGACAAAATATACCCGCTATACAGTATACAGATATATTAGAGCAAATTGATCTTTATATAGAATATATATCCATCCTTTAGTGATTATCACTATCATAACTTACCGACCATTTCTTACGTAGATTAATGCTGGTTTTTAAACAATGTA